AGTGGTTTCGCGACGGCTACCGTAATCAACTGATAATAATCCGAACTTTGCTTTACTATGCGCTTCCGACACGAGCGCGGCACCCCGTTTGGGCACATGACCCCACACCCTCTCCTAATCAACCTTGGAGAGAGGTTATCCCTGTAAAAGGCTTCCTAGATCAGTAACTTTGCAGGTGGCGCCGTTATCACACGCATTGTCTGAAAATCAAATCTTAGGCCTACATCTGCTTAGGTTTTTCCACGCCGTCTACCTTATGGAGTGGGTTATTCGGCAATAAACATGATTAAGAGGATCAAAACAACAACAAGAACAACAACTATCTCGGGAACTTCACTATGAAGGGTAATGGGAACTATAAGATCTCATCTCTGGATGAAATTTGACTGCGTGATTACATCCCAAAAATGGACATTCGTTAGGAGATGCCTGATGGAAGGTGGTATATATAATAAAACCGAGGATGAATTTAGAGCAGCTGTTCCAGCAACTTTGTTTGTACCTATATGAGGAACAACAGAACATCCACGGCTCTAGTGTAGTTCCTACAGAAAGTCATGATTCATTCAACTGGCAAATATCACGGTGCAGTCGGATTCTTCGTGACTCTAATTTACCCTATTAATCAGAACTTTAGCTTTTATTTTCAAATTTTTTGACAAACTTTTATCCTGAAAAAAAAACTAAAAATTTTTTACAAACAGTTCTTTTGAAATAAAAAGCCATTGAAATGCAATTTGTAAAATATCACTACGACAACATGACTTTACATTGACTCACTTTCTCGAAGTAGTTGAGCATGTTCGTCAAAAGTGCGATAGTGAATGAAAGCGCTTGCATCGTCACCGGAATTCATTGCTTGGGCAAAGCGAACACAGCTTTCACATACCTGCAGATAATATTATATCTCATATCTAAAGTACTCCGGATAAAAGGATCATGGCGTCAAAAGATAAAATAGCGAACGCCATTTTTATTGACAAAACTCAAAACCATCGCAGCTTTCTTAGTCACTATTTGAACCTAATCTGTACGCCTCTTAGTCAACCTGCACTCATAATCGGGCATTTGAATGCATAAATATTAAATAAATTTAATAAAGATGCTTACAATAGCTGAGTATTATTATGAGGATGATCTATCTATCCTGTCACAAAAGTTTTGCACCTCCAGCACAATCCTGATGTACCAGTTTATCTAATAACCTAATCTAAAAGTTTTAAAGACTTCTAGTCATATCAATCTCGCTTCTGAGATGCACCCAACATTCGACATCTACTCAGAATTCAGAATCGAATTGGAGTGTGCAGAATGCTTATGTAGACCATACAATGAATTGAGGCGACCAGCCGATGCTCCAAACGAGTCTGACTCTTAGATTAACCAGACTCGCTTGGAAGGAAAAAGCACTGACTTGAACATCCAGGATGGATGAAAGAATTGTTGGCCCAAACGTTTATCGATAGGGATAAATCCCTGGACTATGCCCATGGGCAAGCGCACTACATCACCTCAATGTGATTGCCTTGCATATTCCCTTGAAGGCACAGTTCACGATAAAAATGTTTCCTGAGTTCTA